CCTGCTTGGTCGGGTATTCTGTGTTGTTGTTGGCGGAGCTCTCTGCTATCCGTCCACCCAATCCGCCATCTTGTTTGTTCCTCTCCTTACATCTTCTTTTGATGCTTCCTGCCTCAATACTTTGCCCATGTTGCTAAGTGCAGGTGCGATTGTTCTGACTCATAGCATCCCTATATAAGGTTCCCAAGGAGCCGCTGGTAGGTTTGAACTGCTGACCTTGTGGTTCAAAGTCTAGTCCTTCAATATTGCAATCTGAAGCTTGAATTTTTTTCTTAACTTCTCTCAGATTGAGAAATATACTGTGCATGTTCTTCTCTTTTGGTTTTCTAAACTCCAAGTCTTCACACATTTCAATATAATACTTCAATTTGCCTTCTTGAGCTGCCCTTTGAAATTTTCTCTTCAGCCCTTTTTCATCATTTCTTCCTTTTACTTTAGCTGCCCTATGCTCAAGGCAAGTTTCATAGTGTATTCTAGCATCCACGTTGGTCTTTTCTGTCTTTTCAAAGACCTTTTGCTTTCTTCATGGATCATGTTCTTGATGCCATGACACAACTCCTCTGGTCTTTGGTTATTATTGTCTAATGTATCAAATCTCTTCTTGAGATGGTCTCTAAATTCACATGGAATCTGTTCAAGGTCATATTTTGACTTACGTGACTTGTTTTAATTCCTTCAGCCTGAACATGAATATGAGTAATTGATGATCTGTTCTTCCGTCAACCCTTGGCCTTGTTTTAGCTGATGATAGTGAGCTTCTCCATCGACTCTTCCCACAGATACAGTCTGTTTGATTCCTGTATATTCCATTTAGTGAGTTATGTGTGTATAGTCACCATTTATGTTATTGAAAAATGGTATTTACAATGAGTAAGTCATTGGTCTTGAAAAATTATATCATTCAATCTCCAACTTTGTTTCTGTCACCAAGAACATGTTTCCAACTACTGATCCTTTGTTTCCAACTTTTACATTCCAGTCACCAGTAATGATCAGTGCATCTTGATCGCAGGTTTAATGAAGAAGTTGATAGACTTAATTCAGTTTTATCATCCTCAACTTTAGTGGTTGGTGTGTAAATCTGAATTATAGTGGTATTAACTGAATTTCCTTGTAGGCATATGAATATTTTACTTTCACAGAAACATTGTACCACAAGATACTTCTTGAAATGTTCTTTTTGAAAGTGAATGCAATGTTAATTCCTCTTCAATTTGTTGTTCCTAGCATAGGAAACCATATGATTATCTGATTCAAAATTATCAATACCAGTCCATTTCATTTCAGTAATGCCTAGGATATCAGACTTGATGTGCTACATTTCATTTTTGAAAAGTTTGCAGCTGTTTCTCTGCATTTTGAATTGTACCCCATTAGCAGATGAAAGTTCCAAAAGCTTTGCTCCATCCATGTCATTATGGTTGACTGTATTTTGAGGAGGCAACTTTTCCCTACTCGTATTTTGAGTACCTTCTAACCTGAGAGCTCATATTCCAGGACTATACCTGACAATGGAAGTCTTGGTGTGGTGCTGTGGGTTAATGCACCAGACAGCAAATACATTTAAACTGTAAGATCAGTGGTTCAAGCTCACCAGTGGATCCTCAGAAACCCTATACAGGGTCGCTATAGGTCGGAAACAACTTGACTACACTTAATAACAACAATACCTGACAATATTTTACTGCTATTCATAAGGTTTTCATTGACTAACCATGTAGAAGTAGTCTGCCTTTCCTTCTTCCATGTTATTGTTAGGTACTGTTGAGGTGGTTCCAACTCATAGTGACCCTATATGGGGTTCTAAGGAGTGGATGGTATTTGAACTGCCAACCTTATGGTCCAGTGAATTATCCTCTAGTGCCACACTAGGACTCCTGCCTTGTTTACTTACATGCCTGTAAAATTCATTTTATGTTTACTTCAAATTCTTCATATAAGAATTGTTTGTATCAAATGATTAGAAATGTCATTCTTAATATATTTAAGTATTAATGCTAATATGGTAGAAAATAATGGTATTTATTTGTAAGTTGTTATTTATTTATTCAACAATGGTTTGGTGTTTTAGAACTTTCATAGTGCGAATTTCTTGCTTGGGGGCTGAATGATAGGAAACACGTTTTCTGTGTCTTCTCAGCTCTCTCTAGCTCAGTGAGTTGACAGGCAGAATGACAAGTGGCATAAAGGAGTGCGTGAGGAAGGTGGGGGGAGAGAATGGGAATCATTGGTTTTGAATGTTTCAAGTTTCCGAACTTTGATATCATAGTGACAAAGTTCACTACTCCTTCCAAAGTATGTAGCTGATATTAGAGCCTTATGATAAAATGGAGTCCTGGTGTGGCACTGTAGATTAAGCACTGAACTGCTTACCACAAGGTCAGCAGTTCAAACCCACCAGCTGCTATGAGTCGGAACGGACTCAATGGCACACAACAAAAACAGCAATGATGATAAGATTTTCCCTATTCTTGCTCATAGGCATGAGAAATACTGGATTATTACATTTATATAGGGATAGCAAGTGCTAAGGAGTTATATAGGATAAACACTGTTATCCTCAAGATCAGTGGTTAAAACCCTCCAGTGTTTCCTCAGAAAGTCTATACAGAATCACTGTAACAGATTGGAGAGACTGAACAACAGAAGCAAATGCTAATGCCACTCACAATATTTCCTTCTTTATTCTTCAGCGCCTATAACCCAGGGAACTGGAGTCAACTTTCCAATTGGAGATATCCCGAGCCAACCATACTATCATGACATGAACTCGGGGGTCAACCTTCAGAGGTCACTGTCTTCTCCACCAAGCAGGTAACTGAAAGTGGACCTACTTATATTCTCATGGATTTGCTGAGTAAGAATAGATTGGGGGCTACTGAGGTCAGAGTGTATGTAGATTGGAGAAACAAAGCAAAAAATTTAAGACTGCTGATTTTACAGAGCTTTTTGTCATCTTTCATGCGTGTGTTTCCAGGATTTGGAAATGTGATACAGTTGAGAGAGTCAGAATCCCTTGGAAGTCAGAATCCCTTTGAACTTATAATTTGGTTGCTGCTTAATTTTTCCAAATCGCTCTGTCCATGTGTAAAAATGAAGGAATTGATTTACGTACGTGATATCAGAGGTCTATTGTGGTTCTGAAATCACGTATTATATTTATTATCAGCATATAAAATTAATTTAGAAAATATCTTTTTAAAATTTTTACTTATATAAGTAGTATAGTGGTTACGAATCAGGCTGCGAACCGCAAGGTCAGCAGTTCGAGACTACCAGCTGTTCCGTGGGAGAAAGATGAGGCTTTCTGCTCCCATAAAGATTTACAGCATCGCAAACCCTGTACAGGGTCGCTATGTGTCAGAACCGACTCCACAGCACATAACAACAACAACAACAACAAAGTATGAATGAGAAATTTCTAAATATTGAGGTGAAAGAGAGGTCCATTTCCATGGCAGTAAGGGTATTGGTGAAGGTGTAAGTACTATACAGGCAATTGTATGCCATATACTTGCTCTAAAGATTCACGTTTGGTTTATTGGTATATATCCCTTTCTGAGTGTGCTGCTCAGTTTGAATTTGGCACAGTGGCTTGATTTTCAGGGTTGATCTTAAGAATAAAGAATCAATAGCGTTATTTAAGGAAAATATGATGGGGGGTATATGGCATAACTTATAATCACAAAAATTTTATAAAAGACTTTTATTTCTATTAATTATGTTGTTGTTGTTGTTATGTGCCATCGAGTCGGTTCCGACCCATAGCGACCCTGTAAAGGGTTTCTGAGGGTGTAAATATTTATGGGAGTAGAAAGCCTCATCTTTCTCCCGCGGAGCAGCTGGTAGTTTCGAACCTCTGACCTTAAGGTTCGCAGCCCGATTCGTAACCACTACGCTACCAGAGCTCCTTTCTATTAATTATAGGGTTATTAATATTAATTACTATTTAATAAGTACCTTCTAAATGCTAGCCACTTAACTAAGAGCTTTACATTTAATACCTCACTTAATTCTCTCAACCATTCCTCTTTGAACTTGATTTTATTATTTCCATTTTACAACTGATTGCACTCGGTGTAAAAAAGCTATGGAGCTTACATATTAAGAAGTGGGAAGTGGCCTGGCTCAGAGGAACCCTGTAGAACTGAGGAGAATTAGGAGTCGGAATTGACTAGCAGCTATCGGTGATGGTGTTGAAGTGGCCTACCAAGACTAGATAGTAGGTTTGTCAGACTCTGAAATTCATATTCTGTTCCACTCTGTTATCTTATCTTTGGGTGGCTATGGAAGCATTAATTGTCAAGGGAAAGTGTTATGCAAATGGACATTATTAAAATTATAATAATCATAGGGGTCATTATGTACAAACTTATGAAAACAATCTGAACGATAGAACACACCATCGTAGGAATTCACTTTTTACTACTGAAGTTTCTTTGTAAATACATTTGAAAAGAAAATATAACACACATCATATTTTTTAGGCAAGCATTGGAATAATGCATGGTGTTTATGGCTAGAAACAGTTCTTATTTCTGTCAGCATCTTGGATACCTATCATTATTTCCAAATGTTTCTGAGATCCCCTGTTTTTTGAAAACATACGAAGGGGCTTCAAAAATTCATGGGAAAATTCCATTATCTTTTCATTCCACTTTTCCACAAACTTTTTGAAGTCTTCTTGTACACAGTAAATGCATTTTCAAATCATATACTTTCACTATAAGAGCATTTTCAAATCAAGATACCTTCAAATGCCACATGTCTTTCTGGGAATTCCATTAATTGGACTCTTGTCATATTTTAACAGCAAAAGACCCAAGACTATATCCATAGATGAAAATATGGAACCAAGCCCTACAGGAGATTTCTATCCCTCTCCAAATTCACCCGCTGCTGGAAGTCGGACATGGCATGAAAGAGATCAAGGTGAGTGGTAGGAACCTACCTCTGGGAACACGAGGGCAAAGTGTTGGCTCATTGTGTAAGTCACGTTTAGTCAGAATGTAACAGCTATGAAATGATTGTTTTATGAAATTATTTTCATAATTTATTATGAAATAATAATAAAGTTACTTTATTTAAAGTTATATGCCATCAAATTTCATCCAAGTTAAGTTACCAAAGAATCTCCTTTGTTCGACATGTTTTATTAGAAGTTTTAAAAGACAAAATTATTTGTTAAAATCAACAGTTATTTATGTGTCTGATTATGGTCTGTCTTTATGAGGTGGTTGGATTGTATGAGTTCTGATTCAGTGAGATCCGCTTACTCCTCTGTATTTGGCTACTTTGAGGAAGAACCAAAATGTTGGCAGTTTGCAGATGCCAGGAACTGAAAGTTCCCATTTAAAGCAAGTCATCTCAAATTCCCTTTGGATGTAGGCAGAGTACAAACAAGAAATAAAAGTGTAATGTAAGTAACATTGGGTCAGAGTCAATCTATTTATGCTTTCTAGAGAAACTATGGCCCAATTATAGGATAGCTTTGGGGGAGGGCCTTGAAGTAGCTATTATTAGACTCTGTGAGTTCAGACTTTCTATAGTTTATTAAGCATATTTCATCAAACAGACACATATCTTTTTTTGTCCACAGTCATAGGGAAATGATTAAAAACATGGAAATTTCCCCCAAAATGAGCTAATCACAATTTGTGTGTCTGTGTTTGCACACGTGTGCACATATTCAGTTTTATATTGGCACCATTTTTAGGTGTTTGAAAATTGCATTTTAAGTATAATTCTGAATTTTATTAAAAATAAAAATGAGAGGGGCTTTTTATCATGGGTTTTCTAGCCCAAGACTTACATAGATGTATGTAGGGGTAACAGGCTATAATAGATGTATAATCTTGGGAGACAAACAGCTCTGAAGCTTAGCAGGTAAAGTTGAAGTCAATTCCTTAGTCAGGATATCTGTGTTGCTGCTAGATTTTCCTGCCTAGTTCCTTCCATATGAGTTCATTAGTCCTGGTGTGGTGCTATAGCGTAAAACACTGGACTGCTAAATTGGTTTGAACCATGAAGTTGGCAGTTCCAACTCACCAGCTGCTCCTTGGAACCTTTTACAGGGTCACTATGAGTCGGAACCAACTCGATGGCACTTAACAAAAATAAATCATCAGGGAGAAATTGGGCTTTGGGTCAGGTGGGTCTTCTGTAGTATGCTGGAATTTTAAGTCATAAAGAAGGATGTAAGGGTGGACGTGGTGGGCGGGGAGAAATGCACAGGCAAGCACTAAGACAGTGTTGGAAAAGGACCATGTGTGCTGTGGGCCTTGGTACTGGGCCTGTGGATGGAAGCCTTGGAACCACTTTATAGAAAGACTTGAAAATCAGCTGGGCAGATTTAGCTCTCCTGAAATACCTTTAATCCATTTGCATGCAGCAGACAAAATCTCTGTAAAATATAAATGAACCCATGTTAGTCCGCTACTTCAAGGCCTTTTGTTCCTTGCCTTCTCTCCTGAAAACATCAGAACCCCTAGTGATGACTAATAAGCCTGTGAGTTGGCCAGGTCTCTGACTGTCTCTCCTATCTCAGAGGCTGTCCCTCTGTCTCTCCCTCACATAACAATCCCACTGCTTTGCTTAGATTTGGGGATGCAAAAAACCCAGAATGTTCACTTAACCATGCCTCCTCTCTCACTCATCATCTGGAAAATTCTTTGTCATCATTGAGGTCTTAGCCTAAGTGGAAGAATTTCAATCTAAATTGGTTGTTTTTACCCCTTGGCACCCAGCTTTGTTGTTTATTGTACTCACACACTTTCTGAATATATATTTTAATGTGATTGAAAACAGGAACCTTATCTGTTTGGACTGCACATATAGCTAACACCTAGTACAGTGCTTGGTACATAGCAGGGACACAATCAGTATTTGTTGAGTAAATGAACTATTGATAGACAGACACCAGTGTCAGTAGAACAGACAAGAAATCAGGAATTTTCAGTAGGGTTGAGTAAGAGTAAAAACAAAACCCTACACCTTTCCTGTTTTATGACTTGTTTTACTGACATTGTCAGTTTATTCTAAACAAAGCCATATTTTGCTTGTCAGAAAATTATTCTGGAAATGATTCCAGTGGTAATAATAACAACATTGTGATTGTGTGGGAATGAATGCGTTGTTCAGAAGTGTAGGTGTTCTTTATTATAAAGAGTGTTGCTTTGTAAGAATTGATTTCTCTTTCAGTCTATTTAAGAAAGCCAATCTCAAATCATATTATAAAACATTTTTGAAAAGTAGAAGGGAAACTGTCATTCTTTCTCATTGTAAGATCATTGCATTGTCTTGGTGATTTTTCTTTTGTCAGGATGACTAGAATTATTGGAGAGGTCTGTAAAGGCATATTATATTAAGAGTAAGAAAGAATGATCCATTCTCAAGTGTGCTTTTAAAAAATTCTGTCACTTTAATTTCGAAGACCCTGAAGACTTTGTAATGTGCACAATAAGCCATTGTGGGAAAAATGACTTCAATACAATGAAAAAATGAGGGCAGTACAGTGCTATCTTCATAAATTTGCTAAGCCCAATCCTGTTCTTTTGTTCTTAGAAAATTGATGTTTTTAAAAAAATTTGAAAAGCAAAATGCCCTACAGTTGTTCTTGTCCATTGTTACATGGTTTTTCGACATACTTGCCCAGTACGCAGGGAACTTTCTAACATACATATTGAGGACCACGCTGCTATTTATAATAACTTATACCTTTCTTCTTTCTCCCACAAAGCTATGTACTAACTGGCACTCATTACTTATTGGTTGGTTAAAATATGCTTGCATTTATAATGGGCAGAAATGTGAGAAACTTTGGCTTGCTTCCTGGGCACACCTTATTCTCTTAGTGCTAACTTTGCTTTAAATCCTAGTCTTGTCGTCGTCATTGTGGTTGTTGTTACTAAGTGCCGTCCTATAACACGTTTCTGAGGAGCGGCTGTGAGTTTGAACCTTACTGCTCAGTGCATTATCCCTCAGCGCCACACCAGGACTCCACTCTTGCCATAGCCCTTCACAAAATTGATCTTTGAAATATGAGAATCAAAGATAGCAAAATTATGGGTACCATGGTCCATTCCTTAACATAAACCTCTGAGATTTATTTCAAGTAGGTAAAAATAAAGTATTTAATATAATGAAAACTACTGTACCATTTGTTTAATAAAGAAATTAGGTAAAATATTAAAATATTTATGAGTATATAAATTTTAATAAAATATTTGATTTTAGCATATCACAAAATAATCATATATTTGTGGCTTTTCAACACACCCAAAAAGTTACAATTTCCTGAACAATGAAAATTACAATTTATAATTTTGCAAGCATAGAGTAACTTTTTTTAAACTAGAGACTCTTTTCAAAGTGTTCAATATTTGGTAGGAGGTGATATCATTTCCTTACATTTTCTCTGATGAATAGTGATATAAATTAAATTTGTCACCATCCACAGCATATCATTTTATATTTTTATTTTATATACACACAGAGGGAAAGGAGAAAAAGAAAAATCAAATCAGAGCAGTACTAAAGGGGTACATAGCCACTGTTGGAATCCTTTAAGTCCTAGAAGGCTGCTCACTGCTTTATTGGCGTCTATGCCTTCTGATTGCCTCTACTTCCAAAAGCTTTGTTTCATAGACACTGTTTTATATCAGTTTGGATTTTAATAAAGTAATACCAGTCTCTCAAAATGCAGGTTGAAAATGCTTTTTATTCCAATACTTACTCCTCAAAAAATTCCATTTGAATTTTTAAATAGATTATCTTGTTAAAGAATATACAAGGGGATTTCAAAAATTTTATTATATTTCCATCCCATTTTTTAATAAAGTTTTTAAAGCTCCCTTGTGTAATGAAACATTTACTATTTCAACCATTTTTATGTGTGCGATTGAGTAACATTAATTACGTTCATGTTGCATAATTATCGCCAGTCCCCATTTCCAAACATTTTCATTACCCTTAAGATAAACTCTGTATCCCTTAAACCCTAGCTCTCCACTCCCCTCCCATGTACCCTTGGTCACCACTAATAAACTTTGGGGGCTGTGCATTCCATTTGCCTTAATTTCTGCACCCCCCCCCAAATCAATTCAAAGATTTATTTACTAGGTTTTGTACTTTTCTTAAAATTATTGGAGCGATCTTGTATAGATTCTGATAGAAGAGAGGTGTTTGTTTTGCTTTTATTCCAGTTAACTTTCAGGGAGATCAGTCTAGTTGTGTTTCTATGCCTAGGTATCTAACAAACTAATAATTCCTATGCTTCAGTTTTAGAAACAGTTCTTTATCAAGATCACTTTTGTCTCTGCCACTATAATCCTTCCTGAATCACCTACATCTGAATGTAAAATTCCTAAAGTTTAATAGGCATCGAGTGAGAAAAACATAGCCTTGTAAATGTAGTTAAAATATTATAGCTGGAGGTTTCTAAATCAAAATTTAACAGACTTGTCAGTCTCAGGAGTGTTTAAACAACTTGCAATCTAAGATAATATGCAAATTCAAAAAGGGTTTTATGCAGTAAAGTTTTATTAATGTTTACATACTCAGGATTTGAGATAAATTTGGTTCAGTTAGCAGCTATCAGGGAGTCCTGGTGTGGTACTGTGCGTTAGTTAATGTGTAAGACTGCAAAGTTGTTTGAACCACAAGGTCAGCAGTTCAAGCTCACCAGCTGCTTCTTGGAAGCCCTATACAGGGTCGCTATGGGTCGGAACCAACTCGATGGCACTTAACAACAACAACAAATTCTATGCCAGGAATTTTTCTAGATATTTTGTTGTTGTTAAGTGCTGTCGAGTCAGTTCAGACTCACAGTGAGGCTATGTAGAGTTTCCAAGGAATGGCTGGTGAGTTTGAACTACCAACCTTGAGATTACCCTACAGTGCCACATGTGCAGGAAAATTGTATTTTTCTGCTC